GAGTTGGAATAGGCAGAGAGAGAGAAAACCGTCGTCGCCGTGCTTCTTGTCTGGCTTCACGTCGAGCGAGGCCTAGTTCGAATCTGAAAACTGTGACCTCGGATTCGAACTTATAAAGCAGGTCAGTTCCTATGAAATAAATTATGGGAGTCACCGCGATTAGCACACGTCGGTGACTCTGCAGAGGAATTTGAACAGCCATGACCAGGTTGGGCACACAGGGGGCAGCGGGCATTGGAGCGACAGTGTTTGGCTGGGTGGCCAAAACACCATTTCTGACACTGACGAAGATGGGGTCGGTATGGTCGAACAGGAGAGGACACTCCAATATAAACTTCATGAGAAAGGTCATGTCTATGGAAGCTAATCTAGGCAATATTGGCGTAGGACTTACAATGGCCTCTGGGAGGAATAGTATAGCACTGGGTGATTTTACAAAGTAGTTCCGACTAACAGATTGACGGATTCCGTTCACTCTATTCAAATATATGGAAATTATTGCGTGGACCCCCCCCCCCAAACTCCCTCATTCTTGCCCTCGATAGTAAGGGAGGCATGAGAATACCAGGGAAATTGTGGGGTTAAATATAAATAATATACACAGAATCAGTACCCAAGGTCTATATAAGTACTTATATAGACCTTGTCAGTACCCTTATTGCGACCCCGCATGGCTGGCTGCCGCCCTCAACCCCCGCCCGGGAAAATAAAGAATCCTCCACGTATTTAGGGAAGGAGGATGATTCTCCTGTCGTGAAATTCGAAGTGATTCTTTGCGTCCCATTGCAGGGGCTGGGAGGCGGCATCTCCTCATGGGGAGTTGCAGGGGGACTGTACTCTACATTAGGCAATATAGGGACTGCTTCTGTGTATTGTATTCATATTTTACCCGGCAATTTCCCTCGTACCTTCCATGCCCTCCCCTGCTATCGGGGCCAAGATTGTTGCTAATAGGCGGTTTCCGCGCAATCATTTCTATGTATTTAGATAGTAGAGAGAGAGAGAAATCCATCGATACCAAAATCGTCGCGATCCTGTAGGTGGAACTAATCTGTAAAATTACTGGAAACTTTGCCTACTTTTTTGAGACATTGTTGGGATAGAAGGCTAGTGTCAGAGTAAGGGGCTGTAGGGGGAATCACAAAGAATCGATCCCACTTGGCTGGACCAAAGAGAGTACTCAGGTTTGCAGAGGTGGAAGCACTAGAAGGACGAGGGCGGGAGGAAGATGGGGTGACAATAAGGATGAATAGTAATGAGATGGGAGGATGTAGACAATGGAGAAGACTGTAGGAGATAGAGTGGAGAATGGTGGGAGAGAGGAAGGGGTGCTTTGTGATGGGTAGTTCTCAGAAAACATCGAGGGAGTATTCGTATCAGCATTCAGACCCGTGGTCGAAGGAGAGGCGGGGATCAGGGAACCAATAAAATGAAATTTAGATAGGATAGCTGATGAAGGGGCAAGCCTTAATGACTCTAATAAGGGAAAAAAAATCTTAGTCTCTATTATTGACCATGGTGAGCCTGAAATAAGTGGGGAAAAGAAACGGTCTACCCCTGTGTCCCTTACAAGGGTTATGGGCTTTGGAGATTAAATAAGGGAGTGCTGTGCCCATGGTTCCAGGAGGCAGTTCATGACTGACACAAAGCCAGCCTTTAATCCTTTCAGCGCGGCTCTTACACATAGGGGAGGAAATTGAAAGCCAGACGAAACGAGTGAAGACAACCAACAGGACCGACCATTCCATATTTGGTCATTCCTGAGCACTTTGGAACAAGATCGCCATCCTATTAGGGAACATGACCAGCGACATGCTCTACCTGAAGACGGAAGCCCATGCCAGACCTCTCATCCAGGGGTATAATGTGCCTTCCAGTGGTTACGAAAGATAAATGGAGGAGAAACAGGGCAAGGATTCACAGGGTGGGGCCCGCAGTCCTGCCCTTTCCAACACCCTCGTGTCCAGCATACTCGACATACACCTGTCAGAGGGATGTAGGATCATCTCTTATGCAGACGATTCGGCAATCATCTCTGGTAAGCACTGCCTCACCAGAGCCCAGCGTTGCCTGGACCTTGTGTCTGGAGAGTGTATCTGATTTCAATCGCAAAATCAAAAGCTATGGCTCTGAAACCAATGCAAAAAAACACATAACTCACTGTCCAGGGCATGGATCTGGAATGATTTAAGGACTATCAATAACTTGAGGTATGGATAGGTCACACTCACTTAACTAAAGAAAGAAGGAAAAAAAAAAACTATAACATGGAAGTAATGACCGGGAGAGACATATGAGCGGGACACAAAGTACTATGTACACGATATCCGGCCTATTGTAGACTATGCTTCTGTCGCCCTCTTTGCATCCAGCACTACATTAAAAGAAAAATTGGAGACATTCCAAAACGAAGCAACCAGGATCATCCTGGGTGTCCCTTGATGGACAGGTTAGCCTCCTAATGGAGGATAACCTGCTGTCTCTGGACACTCAGATCGATCTAATGGCAGCGCAGTCATACAGGCACCCTGGAACACATACACGAGACAAAAAGTATTTAACGCCTACAACAAGACTACCAACTGTTTGCTGACAACTGGCTCACACATACAGCCAGTATTGATACGCTTTCAGTTCAAACAACTGCTTGCTAAGGGCATGGACTCCCCCATCCTAACTATAGGGCAAACACCTTGATCGAGTTCTGTCTTGAGCTTGTCAAGGGGGAAAATCAATACTCTATGCCTAGCCTAAAGGCACAAGTACAAAGGGTCATTGCACAAATAACTCCTCCAGGTAGCAGAACCAACTTACGGACGGATCCGTGGATCCCATAAACCACACTGCAGGCTCTGGCTTCCCAGCAAGGGATGCCACAACATCCATCAGGGTCACTGGCAATGCCTCATCGCTCCAAGCTGAAACGATTGCGATCATGGGAGCCCTGGCCCACGCATCTCTAAGGGAAGGACGCGTGGTTACACACAGACTCGAGATCAGCCATTGACTGTCTCCAGCACAGCTTGCCCAACAAAAACATCTACCACCTGACCACTATCCCCACAATAGCACAGAGGATCCTTAATCAGGGTAGAAGAATAATCATAAAGTGGGTCCTAAGCCACATGGGCATCCGAGGGAATGAACTTGCTGGCAGACTCTCCGAAAATGGCCGGGCATGCCGCTAACTCCTATGATAGTCAACCCAAGCCAAAGAATGTTCAGCCACTGGTCTAACGCTACGGCGCTTGCCAGTCTCCGGCGCCGCCATACACCGAGAAAATACCACAAACTCGCCCTCAGCCAGATGGTAATCAGACGCCACGGGCTATGAACCACTGGTACTTCCTCCAAAAATAGAGGTGCCGAAGCCATACTGCACAGATTAAGACTCGGTCACCTATACGCTTGGCAAATTATTGATGACGTGATACAAGTAATGTAAGCAGTGCGACGACCCGAACGCCACCGTTATATTACTTACAGAATTGTGCGCAAACGCAATTTCTGAAACGGACCCCCAACCACAGCCGCCGGGATGGTAAAATGGATATGCCACATGCTTACACCGTGGAAACTGGAAGCTTGCTGGCAATCTAGCCTCCATGCGAAGCATACATAAAACACGGGAGAGCTAGAAATAGCTGACGCAGGCCAGGCCACTTTCGAGAAATAGCCCGGACGAAGGTAGACTGCAAATCTAACTGGACTGACAAGAATTCAAAGAAACAACCAACACACTCTCAGACGGTATAAGAGGAGCGCTTTCGTTGTTCATGTCGACAGCCACGGCCACCTTTCTAAGTGGTTCTATTTGCTTCACTCATCAAACGAAGCATGGTCCTGTTGACGATAAAAGTAGTTGAGGCGTTTACACAAGTAACAAATCGAGTAACTCCAAACGCCGTTTTCTCGAAATCGCCGCATTTATGCAAAAACTTGATTTGATTCATTCACTAGTTTTACAAAAGGCGACACTGATTGAGCTAAAATTTCGTTTGCATTTATCTGTTGTTTTGTTTCTAGAGAGAGAGAGAGAGAGAGAGAGAGAGAGAGAGAGAGAGAGAGAGAGAGAGAGAGAGAGAGAGAGAGAGAGAGGGGGGGGGGGGGTATGAGGAACGGAGGTTTTCATTGTGAGAATTTTAGAAAAGGTATGAATGAGAATGAATGTTTTAATAATACAAGGGTTGCATTTAACTGGTTTCGATATATCCAAAACCGGTCTTGTACTGTGAAGATATTCATTCTCATTCATACCTTTTCTAAGAGAGAGAGAGAGAGAGAGAGAGAGAGAGAGAGAGAGAGAGAGAGAGAGAGAGAGAGAGAGAGAGAGAGAGAGAGAGAGAGAGAGAGAGAGAGAGAGAGAGAGAGAGAGAGAGGGGGGGGGGGGAGGGAGGCTTTTTAACCCCCTACACCCACCCCTTGCATGGAAGTAATACCATTATTGATGTATTGTATTTTACCTGAATACTGGATAATCATTTGTGTCTATCATATCACCATTCTAATGACAGATGAACATCAAGTTCAGCATCACGTATGGCTCTTGGTTCAAGGTAGATTTTCTGTTTTTTTTGTGACTGCTTATTTACATGATAATAACAGAAACAAAATGAAAGCCTATAACTATAACTGTACCATAACAACAGGTTATATTTTTTAAAAAGATACATTGTACCTCTTTGTTTCACTAAAACCCTGTATTAGGCTTATTCAGTAAAATACCTTGATGAAAGAAATATTTTTCATCTGTGCTCCAACTCTTAAAAAGTGGCTATTATAAATATACTTTCTACCTGGTATTGTACATTAATTAAAGTCTGAATCCTTTGCTTTTACTGGAATAAAGGTCTACTAAGTCATCACCAAAGGAAAGTGTCATGGAGTTCTTATCGTGGGGGAATTCAAAGACAAACTCTAGTAAAATATCTTAAAAATCTTTACATCTTATACAGTGAAAGGTGCACTACTGATAAATTCCACATGAATGAAATAAAAATAGTTATTACAAAACTGAACTAAGAACTATGAAAATAGAATACTGTAGGAAAATGTGGGGGGAAAAAGTACAATGCCCTTCACAGCCATCAGTGGTCAAAGTGCTACAGTTTTCTCCAATGCAGAAATGGCACATCTGTCTACTACACAATCGCTTCCTCAATTCACACAGAGATTTACTTTCATTTAGGAAATCTATGCACCAAAATCTTCGTCTTGAGACTTCAAAATTTCACAATCATTTTCTGGTATTCTGTGGGATTGTTGTTACCTTGTGTCTTAATCTGAGCATGCCTGTATATAGATGCATGCCCTTTGGGAGTTAAAGATCAAAGATATAATTTTGCATTGCCTTGCATCTACATCTTTACTGAGACTTCTGCCAAATGGCAAAAATCAACACAAACATTTTATATGTGTATATGTGTTTGTGTATGTGTGTTTATTGCAACAGGAACAACAAAGGGAAGGGCAGGAAAACACACACACGAATAGGCATATTCTTGTGTTTTCTTGCCCTTCCCTTCGTTGTTCCTGTTGCAATCTGTTCATCATGAATTCTTCACATGTGCGTTTATGTGTGTGTATGTGTGTTTATATTTGTGTGTATGTGTGTGTGTGCGTGCGTGTGTGTGTCCACGTGCGTGTGCGTTTGTGTGTGTGTAAGTGCATGTGTGTGTAAGTGTGTGTGTGTAAGTGCGTGTGTGTGTAAGTGTGTGTGTAAGTGCGTGTGCGTGTATGTGCGTGTGTTATATATATATATATATATATTATATATATATATATATATATATATATAATATATATATATATATATATATTATATGTATATATATGTATATATGTATATATATATGTATATATTATATATATATATATATATATATATATATATATATTATATATATATATATATATATATATATATATATATATATATATATATATATATATATATATATATATATATATATATATATATATATATATATATATATATATATATACACATAAATATATTGATATACTTATGTACATATACATATTTGAATTTTTAAAATGAAACAGTATAAAGAAAACCAAATATTTGCTTTTGCTACTTTTTAGCATTTAATCACATCAGTTGAATTATATATCACAAATATCACTGGTAAAAAAGATTTCATATACTTTTTGTTGAAAGTCAAATAAAAAAATCATGGTTATTTTATTGCCATTAATTAATCTACGAATACAAACAATCAATAGCCGAGCGTACTATACAACTGCCTTGTACCTCAGACTTCGAATCAGTTGAATTTATCTTACTGAACAATGTCCATATTCGAATACATAATAAAATTACCAGTATTAATACAGGTATCTCTTTATTTAGTTACATGATGTGATGCAAAGGATCTATATCCATGACTCAGGAACTTGGGTAACACATAAAATAATTTTCTTACTATACTGCAAAGAGATTTCAGTAAGAAATTGGTAACATGCTTTATATGACTAAAAGAAAACAAGATGAATGAAATGCTGCAGTCTTCTGAAACTACACACTGTGGAAGCTATGCCCATGACTTTGATTTCACGCTGGGTTATGCTTAATACAATTTCTATGAATATATATAAACAATGTTGTTTTAACAAATGCAAAATCAACTTAAATCATACTAAATAGAAAAAAATAATTGCATATTTCTTGTGTCTTCTCTTTTTCACATTTTTTTCTCTCTAAATTTGTCTTCTGGCTCACATCTTTCATACAGGAAGCTTGAAATTTTAGTATGACAATCCTTTACGAATAGAAAATGCTGTAAAAAGCAAAATCAGAGTATGTTTTGAAATCTGGTATTTTGCGGAAAGAGAAAAGGGTCTGCTGGATGACCGAGAAAGATGGAAAGAAAGAAACATAACAACACATACAGGAAGAAAGTAAATGTAAACAATTTTGCTATACTATGAGAAACAGAGCTTACAAGAGACCCATAAATACCTTTATTATATTTGGTGGAAAGTGTATCATTTCTTCTATCAGTTTGCTAAGTCAGTTTCACTATCACAGACAAGAAAGAAATATATTCAACAATCAATACCATTCACTTTCTAGTATTCTGTGACTGCTGGCTGTGCTATTGGACTGCAACAGTGAGTGATGGCTAGATACAAAAGAAAATTATATACGCAGTATGAAACTGACCCAGATTGATAAAATTGTTGGGTGGCAGTTGAGACAATTAATGATCAATGGAAATATCTGTGCAAGACCAATGCCATAAAAAGTAAAAAGTTATGCCTTAAAACACTCACTTCCAACTATATATTATTCATCACTTTATGGCACTATCTTTTTTTATCCCTCGTATGTGATCAGAAATTGTGGACAAAATTACCATTCACTCCAAGTAACCTAACAGCCATGTGCAATTTATGTTCATGTGTATATCTCAAAGGCTTTTTACACGTCCACAAAAACACAAACTGTATTTATGACGCAGAATATGCTTCAGAATA